CATTTGTGTACGTCTGCTCGGATGCGTTGCATACTTTTGTTGCTATTCTTCTGTCATCATTCTTGACCATGGGCGATCACTCCTCCAGTATGACCAGACCAAAACACCTATCGGCAAAAAACACCATAAGCCATGGAGGGACAATGCTGGCTACACAGTCATTTTAATTACTCTAATACAATATCAACAGTAGGATTAAAGCACTATATACTTGTTTTTGTAAAGCTAAACCTTACCGAAATATTTGTCGTGGATGATAAATAAACAAAACTGAAGTCAGACGGACACATCTCTCCAGGATGGATGGACTCCTCATTCTGTGGCAAGTCGGTAATAAAGCATGAAAATGTAAAAGGGCAGCCCTGCTCGGGCTTCAACTAGGGGCAGTTCTGGAGAGCCCCCTCGAGAGTTTTTTGTCGTTCTGGGAGTACCCCCCACTTTATACCCACCACGCATGACCTGTTGCATTGACAGACGCGGAGGGGGGGGGGGGGGGTAACAAACTTGCTCATTATTTCAACTATTGCGTCAAGAGGTTGAATGGAACGGGCAACCTCTGGATTGCAAGTCCAGTGTGCTCACCATTACACCGAGCCAGTATCCCCTCAGATGAAAGCAACATTGGTTTAATTCTTCCTGGCAGGTGTAAGGAGTTTTCAGGATATAAGAAAAAATAAAGTTTCCAGTTTAAACAACTACTGCATGTGCAGGTGATGACTGTTGGAACTCCCACGCAACCGTCTGCAGGACTCTTCTCTATCAATGTTTACAATAAACTACGGTCTTCAGTGAAATTTCCTTATTTTCTTTTCTCCAAAAAAATGCAGTCCTGTGATTACAAATATATACACGTTAATGTGTCACTTCATTACATCGACATGCAGATTTATTTTAAAACATATATAACCCCAACAGATGTAATTTTTGTTTTTAGTTTTGTAGCCACACACTTTCACATTTTGTAAATGGAAACAAAGTATGAGAGCCTTTTTTTAAAAAATTTAATTTTCCATGAGTCACATGTCTAGGCCACAACCTCAAACATGACTGTTTCACCTTGGTCTGGTTCATGACAGAGTGACTGACAAAGACTTCTTTCACATCATGGCATTGACTCAGCTAATGGATCTAATTTATGTTTATACAACTGATTTTAATGTTAGTGACTGATAGCAATTTGCGGAATCACAACAGGATGATTACTCAGAGAAACCGGATGCTTCGTTAATGTGGAAAACTTTTCTCAATCATTTTATTAAATTAGTAACATCCTGCTTCCTGCATAGTTATTCCCATCTTGCCGCAAGAAAACAACAAGAATCTTGCCTTTAACCTTACTAGTGTGGGAAGTTTATAAGAAATACTCCCTGTAAATTGCCGACATTTTTTGAAACTTGCAAATGTGGTAATTAATAATGTAATCTCTTCCAGCTGAGATTCTGTTGAATGAGACTTGGCGAGCAAGATTCATATTATGATAAAGCAATCCATAATAGGTTTGAAGGAGATGTAATGGGTGAAGTCCTGGCTATTACTAAAAGCTTAGCTATCAGGACTGACAAAGTGGCCATCGTGGCTGACGTTTTGTTGATCGAAAATGCGGCATTTGACTTTGAGCGACGTGCCTCTTGAGTTAATAATGCTGCGACATGTTAATGAAAATTTGAGCCAGTCATATTTATTTAACGTGACGAGTAACTCAGAGCTGGGTGCATAATGTTCCGTGGTATGCTTTGCACTCACATCAATCGTCCACCTCATTGAATAGACTGCTCAGTTTAATAATCAATTTGTTGCTCAATGTCAAGAAAGTCAATGAGATCTGTTTCGTAAATGTTACCCAGAGAACAGTTTCAAACTAAAAGGAGCAATGAAAACATATCGACAATAGTACACTAAAAAAGTCATTAAAACATACTGTTCGGTGAAAATTAAAGCCCCTTATGTATCAGTAATATAATCATATCATGAAAATGTATTTGAAAAACAACATCGTCTCATAAAAATGTTAAGTAACAAAACAAAGTACATGTCAAGGTCAAGAGGTCATCATTGCCAATGTCGTTGATGCCATCACACTTAACCATCACTTCCTCCCTTCTTCGAGATCCCACAGTTGATGTAAGATGAACACTTGGCCTTGAAGGTCTGGCCACAGAGTATCTCACCATCTGGCTTTAGGTCTTCCCCTCAATTGCAAACCTTCATGTCACTCCAACGCCTGTTTCGCTAATCTGCCTTCCTCTGTCCTACACATGTATCCCACACATTACAAGTGGATTTTTCTCTTTGCATCCAAGAATACTGCTTTCCCAGGTTGCTTTCTATCCTTCCTTAAAATTGCTATCACCTTCCACGTGCACCTGTGTTTGTTGTCCAACTCTCCGACCCATAAAGTGACGCATATTGTGCTAAGGTATATGCAGTATGCTTTCCTGAAGAGGGATGATAGCCAATAGACTCGGCACGCAACACCTCTGATTTGTGTTCCTAGCATTGGATGCGATCTCTTCACAGGCAACTCTCTTGTGAGTGCCAATTGAGTTAAATGTATGGCAGGTGTTAGTATGTCACAAGACACGGCACAGGAATGCAGGGACCAAAGAAAAAAATATTTGGTGGAGGGTGTCCAATGCGTCTTCATAGGGAACATACATTTTTACAGGAAGCAACGTAATTCTGTTGTATAGCTGTCTGATTTGTTTTCGGTTTATACTGCGTGTTATCTGACACGATGTCCAATATTTCATTCAGTTTTTGAAGAAGCTCCCAGCACCTGGGGTGAAACGTTGTACATCGTGCCGGACAATGTGCGGTATGACTCCGAAAGCACACCAGAGAGCTGAATTGCCAAAAGTATGAGAACCTACGCAAGCAGTACTGCTACTGTATTCACATTATCAAGACATCGTCTGCTGAGTCAAAGCATCATACTTGGAACCTATGAGAACCAAAATGCAACAAAAATGTAAATGTTGTTATAAATATTATTGAATACTCAATGCAACGCACCACTTTCAGAATTCTATAATTCCCTACCCATTCACTGAGTTTTATGAATCACACGAATTCACAGTAACGTATGGGCCATCACATTGCCTCTCTGAGCTGAAGTGCACTGCATCCACTGCAGATTGACACCGTAGCCAGCGGACACCAGGCCATTCATTGCATTGCACCCATTGGGAAGAACGTGTCGCAGCTTTGCAATGCGTTCACTACATTGTCGCATATGAGTTGGCATGCATGTTGTTCCTGAGCTCGCTTTGCACTAGGCAAATTGAGCATGGCAGTGGCTGAAATCTCTATAAAATATTTTCACTGGTTAATAGACAATCAATCACTCTTTATACTCTATCATAAAAAAGTGCCATCTGTGGCCGTTTCAGTTGTAATATGGAAATGCATATTGGTTTTTTTTTTATAATTTAAATTCCAGATGCATGTGCAAATTATAACTAAAACACATTTAAAAATAAACAGCAGTCCATTACGTGCTTGTATTGTCAATAAGCTACATTTAAAAATGCAATATTGTTTTATAAACAGATAATATATTTTCTTTAACAGTGCTATCAATATGAAAGGTAAATACAATATTAATTTTAAGTGCATTTATATAATCCACATGGATATAAAGAAGTACACAAATGGCAGTGCTGAGTGGTGGTGGTGCAGTGGTTAACTCAATGCCCGATGAACATGGTGCATCGAGTTCGATTCCCGATTGTCGAAGGAGCACTTAATTCCTCCACCAGTCTCGCCACAACATTTCACCAACCCACAATTACCAGCGTGGTGAAGTATGCACAAAAAACCCCATGAACGTCACAGTGTGGGAAGGTCTTCATCCAATTTTTATTTTACTAGGTAAGTACCCGCTGAGCTATGTAGATATTTTTCAAAAGCGACCTGGCTTTCACAAAATGATAGCTCAACGAAGTGGCCTCCCACGTGGGAATTTATCGCAGCCAAATACTCCTAAACAAATGTTTCTAAATGTGGAGGGAAAAACCGGAAGATCCGGAGAAAAACCCACAACATGCAAACTCCGAATATATAGGTGTCAGGATCAGGATTGAACCCATGTCCTTCTGTATACCAGGCGAGGGAGATAACAGAAGTAGTTTTAAGCACATTTATATTATCCATGTAGAGTACGGCAGGGCTTCATTTCAGTCAGGTTTATCTTGGTTAGGTGACTTGTAGAATATTTCCGCATCACGGCACACCACATCGAGTACGAATCATGCTAGGCTGTGGCTACTCGTCATATGGCACCAGTGCCTCATACAATATTAAATAAGTCAATGGCAGATCTGTACAAATTATACAATGGAAGTCCCCCTCCTTTAACGGGGAGAGCTTCAGCAACTGGTCAGATGGGGATTGAAAAAAACATTTTTTGGGGGGTTTCCCACATTTTCCCCACCCCCAAGAATACCATCACATTGCCCTGTACCAGTGCTGCATCCAGAACATCGCATGGCAGGTATGACTGCCTATTACAACGGTGGAAGGTGAAAAGCAACCCGCACTGCAACTTCACGAAGGTATTGGTAACCTACACTGGGAATTAAAACTGTGTTCTTTAAATTATGAGTCCCGTGGAGAAGAATCTAAACACTAACTATTATTACATTGTCATGTAAAATGTTATACAGATACCATTTCTGTTCATAATAAAGGTGTTTGGGTTAGATCGCGTTATTTATAAATGTGTCGTAACCCTCCACCACCCGACACGGCCAATCAGCAAAAAAAGTGTCACGTTGACAAAAGACAAATAATTCACTACTTTAGCCCACCGGTGTGTTGAAGAGTGAATCCACAACATTTACAGAGTGAATCCACAACATTTACAGTTTGTACTCAAACTGTAAATGTTGTGGATTCACTCTTCAACACACCGGTGGGCTAAAGTAGTGAAGTATTTGTCTTTTGTCAACGTGACACTTTTTTTGCTGATTGGCCGTGTCGGGTGGTGGAGGGTTACGACACATTTATAAATAACGCGATCTAACCCAAAAACCTTTATTATGAATAATATTGGTCGCGAAAGCCTACGTGTTAAACTGACCATTTCTGTTCTTGAAACAGTTTAGATTTCATATACTGTACTCTTTTTCAGCAAGGGTCAAAACATGTGTTTAAGTCATTTAGCCTAATCCGTTGTATGCGTACATAACCTGAAGTTGCCCACTCGTAAAAATGATATGCACACGACAAGGAAATTCAATTTGACCACATAGTGCCTCAATGTAAATTAAAAAAAAACACCTTATACTTTTCACAACGTATTTACAAAACACGTACATCGCATTTGTCATTCATGGACCATGGAGTGCCAAATAGTAATATTTTAACAGCTCAGATGACAAAATCGTTTTTAATGTTTTAATTAATCGATGCTAAAATTCATGACGTGGGCTTCATTAGCGGCATATAAGCCATCACTGTCCAGTGCAGCCACTGAGGTCATGCACACAGCTCGTTTGTATTCAGTGGGTTTGTATTGTTTTCAGCATTTAAATTACAGTTTTTTACGTTGTCTATATTTTTACCATCGTGCACATGGCTGTTTAATTGTTCCCGCTTGTGCGGCGGTACATTCATCTCGAAGACTCTTTGCTTGTTTGGATACTGTTGCTTCACATTCCTCAAGCGGGATGCCTTTCTGGGTGCCCTGCGTGTAACAAAGTAGCGCCCAGTTTTGTGCGAGTACCAGCACAGAGCACCGAGAAGCACCAACACCAGCACAGAGGCAACGCTTCCTCCTAGGAGACCAGCGACTGGAATGGGAAGACCTTTGTCAGCTAAAATGGTTTGGTCCTGGTTTAAAAACAAAGTAAGGTTATTTGGCAAAGAACCATTTGTCCGTGCGTCCGTGCAAATTGCCGCGGTGTCCTGAAGTAACGTACTGTCATGCCGTACGAGTTCCAAGCATATCCTGTAAGCTGTTTCTGCCCGAAGTTTCGTGATGACATATGAAGGAGGGCTGCCGTAGACTATTTCCGACGATGTCCCTGCCACGGGAGTTTTATTTTCAGTTTCTGTCCAACTGAGATTATATAATGCATTGGGATGCATAAATTCCCATTCAACCTTAATTTCTTGCTCGCCCATTGACTGCCCTCTTAACACAGGATTGTTGTAGCTCTGTGATGTTAAATGATCTGTTGTTGGGGCCATAGTAGTTTCTGAGGTTGCATTACTTGTTGTAGTTACAAACGTAGGTATGGCCGTAGTTTTCCCTTCTTGGTTTGTCGTGAAATCGCTGGCTGACGTGGTTTCAGGAACCTCGCTCGAAGCATGTGTTGTAGTGTATTTTGTAGTTGGCCTCAAAGTGGCATTTTCCATTACCATTAAAGATGTAGACAGCTGGGCATTGCGAGAGTTCAACATTTCAGGTCTTATTGCCTTGTAAGTTTCACCTTTCAGGTAGTGTGGTTCATTGCAAATAAATCCATTCACATGCACAGTACTTGTTTCCAAGAAGTCTTTGAGCAACAGGAGCTTGCGGTCACACAACCATGGATTGTTCTGAAGTGTGAGTTGTTTCAGGTTGTTCAGTCCACTAAAGGCTTCAACGGGCAAACTCTGTATGTGGTTTTCTGATAAATCGAGGTAAACAAGGTTATGTAAAGACAAAAATGAGTTTGATGGAATTGTTGTGATGTTGTTATGTTGCAAATGCAGTTTTTGCAAATTTGTTCCTGGAAAAATTCTTGGTGGTGAAGTAAGTAAATTGTTTGCTAACGACAGTTCTTCCAGCTCCACAAGGTCGGCAAATGAACTATCATGAATACCTTCACTCGTTAATGCATTCCAGTCCAAATTTAAATGCTTTAGGTTCACCATTCCTTCAAAAGTATTTTCCAATATTGTTGTGATCCGATTGCTTTCCAGTTGTAGTTCTTCCAAACTTTTCGGAAGGTCATAAGGCACAGACAACAATTGATTAGAGGAGAAAAACAAACCTTTAATAGAACTTAATTCTCGAAAGGCGCCTTGCTCAATCTCACTCGTGGCAAGAGCATTGTCATCGAGGTGAAGCTTTTCCAGCAGACGAATCTGCGAAAGAGCCTCTGTGGATATTCTACGTAATTTGTTCATCTGCAGATGTAGTTCGAGGAGACTTGTTGGTAGATTTATTGGGAAGGACTCTAGTCGATTTCCGTACAAATATAGCAATTTCAAATTGGTCAAATTCTTTACCGCAAGAGGAATCCCAGCCGCAGTAATCAGGTTATCTTGGAGATACAGCACGTGCGTGTTCTCAGGTATTCCAATCGGAACCGAAGTCAAGTTCTTGTCATTGCAGTAGACGAGTTCATTGTCTGCATCGCACCGGCAAACGGCTGGGCACGTGGCCGCTGGAGCAATGAAGAGCAGAGCAACCACAAGCCAAGAACATCTCCCCGAGGTCATGGTGGCCAACGCCGGGGGTATAGATTTGGTCGAATGGTCCGTTCGCTTGAGTAGCCTGGGAAACGAAAAAGGTATGGCGTACATTCAATGTCCTCACAATGAAGTAGAAGTACAACTGCTTTATTAAGTAGCAGTAAATTAATCATCATCTTCAGCCATGAAGCCCTCCCCAAGCCGTCACCACTTCTCACAATCCTTCGATGTAATAATCCCCATAAAACACTGCACACAAACGAAATAATATAATAAAGCACCCATATAGAAAGTACGCATATACAAACAGGTCCCTGCAGGGTGGGCTGGTAGGAACATTGGAATTTTGCGCAATTTTATGACATTGTTACGTAAAATTGTGCAAATTGAGAGCGTCTTCCCACCTTTTTGCCCTCAAAATCGTTGAGGGTTCTTCGGACAAATTAACCTCTGTAGAGGAATGGAATGGTGAAATCCTTATTCCTACCAGTATAAGACATATCAAGTCTCTGCGCTGTCTATTGCTGATTTTACACCCAACAGCACGAGATTTCACTTCGTTAAAGTATTGAAAGGGGACGGACGGACGGACACATTAATCTATTGTAGGCTGGTACACTCAGTTTACAACTTCGTTCCTACCAGTATAAACTTCACAGTATATAGTTTTGTATTTGTCAGTCATGTAAAAACAAAGCACACGCTGGCTATAACACTGGGGAAGGTAAAAAAAAAACCACAGCATTTTGCAATTAACAGTGCATTCCAGAGCAACAAATGTGAGTTATGTCACACATTCAGCGAGTGACCGAACGTGAATGCACAACTTATATATGGATGCAAATACATGTTTTTGTACTTAATTATAACCATTAATGCCGCGTGCCGTTTTATCACGCAGTTATAGTTGACCACACAGTGTAATGCGGTGACACTGTACATTGTATTACACTCAGAAAGACGATATTGCAACAAAGTCATACACACACACAACATCGCATTAACACACAAGCGACACACAAAACAATTATTTTAAATAGTTATACGGTATTACATGTGACGTTAAAATTAAGCGACACATTTCTTACCTTGGCGCGAGGCTTGTGAAAAAAAAACTGCGTGACTTTGAACGTGGAGCCTTAAGCCAACTGTGGACACACCCTTCCTTCCAGACCTTCACTTCTGAGATTGCAGGATGTCCTGACGAGAATTTTTAACATGCTTTACACGCGAGGAGCTGATGCGTGCCCTAAACATCCGTGTGCCTCGTCCCCTAAGCGAACGGGACATTGAGTGCTTCTGAGTTAGGTCCTGTTGGATAATGAACCCAGCTGGCTTGCAGAGCCTGTCCTGATGCTTACTGTTGGGATGATTGTTTATTCAGGGATCTTTACAAATGTCGGAGCGATATACACAAACCCATCCCCAATGAACACTTATCTGGGGAAACTATTTTAAAGTTAAACCAAGGGGGCATCCATAAAAGGCAACTAATTTTTGTTACATACAAAAAAAGCAGCGGGAAATAATTGTTCCAGTAATAACCAAATAAGAGTCTGAATCCACTATTTTATTCCCACACATTTCGGTTCTACTATTTACATGCTTGGTGTGGAGAATTAGTGCGCCGGTTAGGGTCGTGCACTATGAACCTGGTGACCTGAAGATGATCGTCGCCACAGGAATCGAGTGATGTCTGAACTGTTTCTGGGCTTCACCAACCTCCACTGACCATGACGGTGAAGCAGCGGGCTACATACAACAGTGGAATTATTAAATAGTACTATAAATTACGTGGTACTGATTAATGATTAACATTCTTGAGCTTTCCGTGATAACGAGACAAATTATATAAAGCTGTTGAAATCAAAAAGCAACTAACTGGGTGTTTCACAAAGGCCAGTAAATAATATTTTTTTTCAAATGGCTATTTACAATGTAATCATATTTGATTAAAATGCGATGTGCAATGCAAGCAGCAGCTGCTGGGCAAATGTGGCTCAATGTCATGAGATTTGTAAACAGCTTTGGGAAGCATTAAAGAAACGAAATACTCTAGTGTGTACATTGTCTATATTTTCGTCTGCATTTAGGCTGTCTCACACACGTCCTTGACATTTTCAACAACACATGTTTATATTACTCATTAGTATGGCAAAAGATTTGTATCAGGAGAGCTACACGTTATGGTAGTTCAGAAAAAAGGAAATTAATTAATGCTAGCCACTTCCTCTTCTGCAAACTGTGCCTGCAGTCGAAACGGGACTGGAAATATGCCCGGTTGCGTGGTGTTTTTGCTCCCAAAATATCAGCTCGAACAATGGCAATGCCCTGCAAACAATAGATTGCGCTGCTAGGGGCTGGTAAACATGAGCTGTTCATAACAGAGTCAATGGAATGCGAAACTCCCCTTCGACTCCAAGCTTTGCTAGCCAATACTGTAATCAAGCCTAAATACATGGTCAGGGTGTAATTATAGCACAGGCCTCATACAATTAAATTGTAATTGCTGGAGGCATTGGACGATCATTTTATATGTACACAATGTTGGCACACGAAATTGCTGTATTATCGGGCAGCACTGCATTAAAAACGCCAACATATAATCTAAATATTATATCGACTAAACACGACCTTCCTAAAAATATATATAAAAACTTGAAGTCGCTCGTGAAAATATAAACACACAAAACATTGTAAGAGGCCAGGACAAATGTTATAAACGTTCTGTATGTTTCTACATAATGCATATGGATGCCATTTTACAAAACTACTGTACATGGACACAGCATTGCAGTTCACAAATTTAGGTATAAAGGTCACACTGAAAGTATAACAAACAAAAACAACTATATGTCAACAATAAAGTGCGGTCAGTAAGACTGTACTCAAAGCACCACTACTTACAGAGACAGTGTCACAGCCATTGTTAGAACAACTGCATAGCCTCAAAATCCAGCAACAAAAACACTGGCATGACTTTAGTTCCATCACACTTTCGGGATGTTCTTGCGACATCTGCGTGATTAAGAAACAGTAGGCTGGTGGGACACGAACTGCCTATCACTGCATTTCCCAGCCTGAGTTGTGCCAGGAAAGGGAGGGACCTTCAGGAGTAAATAATATGCAGTTCATTCTCGTGGGACCCTGCAGAGTATGCTTCATAACAGGTGGCTTACTTGATATTTTAGGCAGGCAACCCCCTTGCAAATATCTATAGCGGCTTAATGCATATATTTTGTTGGTACAAACTAATGTTCCTGCCTTTTAAGCAATGCTCACTATGTTGGGGATATTTACAAATTTCTTCATGTTGTGTAACTGCATCTTTTTTCAGATGACAATGTTTTATACGCAATCATTTAAAAGCATTGACGGCTAAGCTAAAGACCTGGTCTGGCACATCATTTATATAATGTACTTGTATTTGTTATTCTCCCTAGGATAGGCATTCCATGCATTAATGCAACAATGCTGATTATTTGACGCACACACACACACTCTGCACATCCATCATCATCTATGAAATCTCTCATGGTGAGTCTGAGAGCTCGAGAGCCTAAATATAGAATGGGTTAATACGTTTTTTTTCTGCTGCCAAAGCTCTCGAGTCTCGCTGAACACACTATATCATAAATAAGCCTTGCGTGTCTGTACGAGTAACGGAAGCCAGCCTGGGACAGCACTGGGACAGGCTGCTGCTGCTAAGAGTCGTCTGGCAAGTTTGGCACGGTTACACTGAGACATAACGGCCACGATACATGCCAAGGCATCATACAAGATGCACACCTTGTGGTGGGATCTCCAGTATCTACTGCTTATGTGGGTTTTTGTTAATTAAAAGTTTTACATTGCTGTGTTATTTATGACTTACGAAAAATAGGGATGCTGTCGTGGTATAATGGTCAGCACGCTGGACCTTTGCAATCCAGAAGTCGCCGGTTCAATTTGAGCTCCTGGCATGGCTGTTGAAACAGTGGCCCAGTTGTTTAAATCTCCCAGCCTCTCTCCACCCAGCAGTACATGTTTTCGTGAGAAACCCACGGTTAGTCGATCTGCAGGTCACTTGTATTCCTGTATATTCCGAGATGTCTGGCCAATGTGGAATAGTTGGCAAAAATGCCCTCTAGGGTGGTCCTCGAGAGCAGCGGTCCCCAACCTTTTTGGCACCAGGGACCGGTTTTCGTGGAAGACACTTTTCAAAGAAGCTCTCCAGCGACGTTTGTTTTTTTTACTCATTTTGGTTCGGGTTGGTTAGCTTGTGGGCTTACCAAAACTGTGACTGAGACAAGTGCGCAGTGCGGGAAAGAGGCGCGGACGGAAGCGGTAATTAAATAATGGGCGGGCCACGCGCGGACTCACCGCTCTCACCTCCTGCTTTGCGGCCCGGTTCCTAACAGGCTACCGGTCCGCGGCCCGGGGGTTGGGGACCCCTGCTCTAGAGAATACTTTGGAGGCCCTTCTGCCAGTCATGGTGTGTGCACGCAATTGCAAGGCTCCATCTTTACTTTCCCCTCGTAAATTAAAAGCAATGGAAGGGGATATTATTTTTTTACATGGTGATTGGAATGACTTTTGGAAGAAAAAAAGTTAATTGTGATTTATAATTACCTGCTGTACTTGCTCTTGTTATTTTGGTGACCCAGGTCACTCTTGCAAATTAGACTTATCCTGAGTTCTCACCTGGTCAAACAAAATAAACCTGAAACTTGAAAACTGAAGCAAGCCAATGACAACAGATATACGCTGCTGTTGATTTGTGATTGGTAAAACAAATTACGTAATTAGTGGTAAACATTAAAGTCAAATGCATTATCCTGAATGTCCTTCATATACCTTATCTAGCAATTAAATTTATATCATTAAATGTCCTTGTTGGATGAAAGCATGGACATCTAACCTTGATATTCCGGGAAATGTGTAACTAGTGCGTGCATTACCATTCCATTGCCATCCAATGTTTGTATCAAAATATTTATAATAAATATGTTTGACATTTATGACAATTGGCAGTGCATTTCTAATAGAGTATGCATGATTTGCATCCAAACGATTTTTATTTCCACATTTTAAATTATTTCGCAGAGTTCTGATGTACCCGTAGCGTGATGATGGCATGAGCCGTTTTAAGACGTGACAACAAGACTTGAATTCCCAATTACCGAGGTGTGGAGCACATGTTGCTGAGATGCGACCCCCCGGCATGCTGTAAGGCAGCCTTGCCCATCCAGAAGGGCACTGTTTTGTCTATTGGCCATGGTGCTAATCCCCTGCCCTCAGCTGCCCTGGGGTGGCACAAAAGGATCACACGTCGTTTTCTACGAGGAAAATGCATCCCCAGCCCGCTGAGAATGGTGACTTATCCAAGAATTTTTAAACAGGGCTGCATGCAGGCGGCACTGCTTAATTAGGCTCGGGTAGTGGTGTAGTTGAAGTGAACTCAGCGGCACTCAGTGTTCTGCCTTATTAAGTTGAAGAGAGGCACCTGGTCAGGGGTCTAGGGAAAGAGCTGCACTGCGGTAGAATTGGGGCCATGTGTCATCCCAGATACCCACCACAGGCACGCCACTGCTATATGACAATGCCTCCCAGGTATTCCAAGTTCAATCTCTTTGTAATCTTGAAATGGTATTGCAGGTTAGAGCCCTCTAAGGTATATACGGGTCTGTATGCCCTGTATTTGCTTTCAAGAATTTTACACAAGAATACTGTACAGTATAGGGGTGCGTGATAAGGCAGCACAACACCTTCTGCAGGATAAACTGTATCTATACAAAAAAAATCCAAGATGATGCTTATGAGTACAGCTATAGAAACACTTATCTGAAATAACATATTCGGTTGAAGTTATTTCGAAGTCATACAAATATTTTGAAATATGATAGGAACAAATATATCACTAAATTCATTCTGACCAGAACTTACATATTTGGTTCCGATGTTATAGCAATGTGTGATTCTTGCACAAGGCCTTGTGGAATTTTCACAAAGCATTGTGGCTCTTTCTATATTGTTGTCCTGCCTAAATAAGAAGAGTAGCAACAATCTGTAATGGTTTGCGTTGGTTGAATGTTAGGGGTATTCACCCATCTGGTGAATCAATGCATTGTTACTATTCAGGGCCACGAATCTATTCCTTTTCCTGTACTTTTTGCCACTTCCCTTGTATTATTTTTTTATTTTTACATCTCATTTTTGTCAGTTTTGTCCACTGCATTAGCTGTAATGTAATAAGCATATAATTAGCATATCGATTGCATAAATAAAATAAATATATTCTCATACGCAGGATTTTATGCACGTACAGTATTGTAATAGTTATGAATCAATACACCCCGATTGAATCTAAGGTCAATATTTACACTCTCCATTTGCACACTTTAACTTACGTATATATTTAATGTATATTAATACACCTCAATTGCAGTGTTTAATATACTTCGTACTTTAGCTGTGCAATAATACAAGCAATGCTTACCAATGATGCTGTACTTACTTAAAATTCGTTGTAGAATTGGCTTAACTGCAGAGTATGTAGAGGGGAAAAGGGTTTGAACAATTTGTGACATTTCACATGTATTCGCTCAGAGTTTCCAACGTCAAATTTCATTGGAACGATGTTTTAATTTCAAAAGGATTTCCTTGATGCAGACATTCACTTTGCATCGGTTTGGCAGACATCAGGCTGTCAACCATTAGTCTCCTTTTTTAATGTCACAATCAGCACCAATTGCTCAAGTTCAGTTCGAAAATGAAAGTATATTTTAAAATCCGACTTGCAGCTGGCACACCAGTTTTTGCTGAATGTGCAAAATAGCTCCAGTTTCAACATTACAGGAAAATAAAATCAAGGAATTTGGCAGTTTGAGTACTCTTAACTATTTTTTTTCAAAATTAAGTAATATATTGTGGAATGTTTATAAAGTATGAAATAACACAGAACGGTAACGCCCGTAATATTAGACTGTGACGCTATTATTTTATGTGGACTGCGAGGTAATTCATTGAGGCAGGCCTCTACAATTGAAAACACTAGCCTTTTTTTTGGCTGTCAGGTGAACTGTTACACGTTGTGACGTTGACTGCTTGAACGCACCGCGTATGCTGAAACTCGCACCAGTTACATCAATCAGAAAGGTGCCGTAACTGCTTGTGCTCAAGGAAAAAATAAAGCGGCAAAAATAACTTCAAACATTCAGATATAAATGTAGGAATATTATGAGCAATTATGCACAGTGCTAAACTTTGTTTTATGAATTAGTTTAGTGCAGGATCATTCATTCCTATTTCCAGTGAAAGAAAATATAATTTTGTTGTAAATATTCCATATGGTGTGAACATGAAATCTTCTCGTTCATCAACACTATCAAAAGTCAATCTTTATTACGTTCTCTCATCATCAGCCATTGTCTATCCACTGCTGGCTGAAGGCCTCACCACACCGTCACTATCTCTCACGGCCCTGCGATGCCACAATCCATCTTTCGTGCCTTCACACGAACTTACCGAATCGTTCCATCTCTGCGGTGGATACTTTCTCAGATGCGACCTCTCCTTCGGATGCCATTCCAGTCTTCTTCATTGGCCATCATCCCTTCTAGAGATGTGACCTGCTCAAGCCAACTCACTCTCAGTCAACACGGTGTCTCTCTCATTCGGGATTGTTCCCCCGATCCTAATGCTTCGCTTCCTGTCTGTCTCTAAGCAGACAAAATATTTTGAAAACAAATATTTCACTGACCAAAATAAATTGCTAGAAATAATCCATTGAAGAAAAGTGAACAAAAAATGTAGAATTATAAGCAAGACAACGTTAGTGCGCTTTGGGACAAACATTTTCACAGTTATACGCATTGTTAAACAACCGTCGCCGATTGGAAGGAACTGCTTACCTGTTGCTGGTAGCTTTGACAGTGGCATGTCACACACACACAAAAAACCTCACGATCCGCAGGGAGACGCATGCTGATCCTTGTACGGATTAGTGGGTTGGCATGCAGCTGGTTGCACGTATAATCCCAGCTCAGACATGCGTTTCACAAAGGTATTAGGTGGAGAGCCCCTGTTAGGTGCAATATCAATACTGTATTACCAAGATGCATTGCTGTGCATTGAACAAAAACAGCCAATAAATGAATTCATGCATTGGCATTAATTAGTATATGATAATATGGCAAATGCATGTAAATTAGTTGTAATTAACATACGTTTTTCTATTACTTAAAAAATAAACCATGAATATACTCTATAAGACAATGTATATTTAAAATGGCTGGTGGCTCTACACTCTACCATGAGAAATTTCATAGTCAATCACACTTTGGAAGGACTGTGTAATCTTCTTTCCCATTGCAATCAAACCTGTATGTAATTAGCTGTCACTATTAGTGCTCTGGCGAAATCACTAATGGCTGCAAGCAGCATTCAAGCTACCAATTTCAAGTACACGTCCTATTTTTGGTTTGTGTTTGATGGGTTCAATATTGGAAGTATAAATGCACGATCCTTTTAGCATTAAGAGCCAGGTGAATGGGTCTGCATTATTGAATTACAATTATATATTTCATCATTAAGTTCACAATAAAATCACTGCTATTCTTTTAATTTTAGAAATGTGGTACATAAAAAAATTATACACATGCTTGTGTGATCATACATGCAATGTAACTCATAATAAGTGTTAATTAGGCATCATTCAGCGTTGACGAAAAAAATCTAACTTCTACAACACTATTATTTGGGTCTTTCGGTAAAGTCACATAGATAGGTTCAAAGAAAATAACAAAAAAATAAACTACGACGTTTTGATCGTAACACAAGCAACACAAGCGGTCGTCACCCCCTTTTCCTGATGACGACCGTTTGCGTTGCGATCGAAACGTCGTAGTTTTTTGTTGTTATTTTCTTTACCGAAAGACCCAAAGAATATGAATTCCTGCAGTCACGAAAGGTCAAGATTCAAGAACACTATTTGTACATCTTCAGAAAAATAGCCACAAAAATTACCGGACACAATTATGTCTAAATTCTTTATTTTTAGTTATGAAAACTCTATACAAACTTTTGGGAAAAATAAATGTGAATCAATTTGATTTTTAGAATACATTCAATCATAGACTTCTAAGTGTGGAACATCTATATATTTAGTATATACAGAGCAAATCCATCAAGCTGTACAGAAAAGGGCCATGTTGTTTAAAT